CTTTCATTTCAGATTTTATTTATTTGGGTCCTCTCTCTTTGTTTCTTCATGAGTGTACTAATAGTTTATCAATCTTGTTTATCTTTTCAAAGAATCATCTCTTGGTTTCATTGATATTTTTTTTGTCTCTGTGTCATTGATTTCTGCTCTAATCTTTATTATTTCCTTCCTTCTACTTACTCCAGCTTTTTCTTGTTGTTCTCTTTGTAATTCTTTAAGTTGTAGGGTTAAATAGTTATTATTACTTTTTCTTGGTTTTTTTGAGGCAGGCTTGGGCTATGAACTTCCCTCTCAGAACTACTTTTGCTGTGTCCCAGAGATTTGGGGTTGTTGTGTGTTCATTTTCATTTGTTTCCAGGAAGTTTTTTATTTCTTTTTTGATCTCATTGGTACCCCATTCATTGTTTAATAACATGCTATTTAGCCTCCATGTGTTTGAGTGTTTTTACGGTAGTTGATTTCTAATTTCATTCCATTGTGATCTGAGGAGCCGTTTGATATGATTTCAGTCTTCTTGGACTTGTGGAGACTTGTTTTGTGTCCTAACATGTGATCTATCTTTGTGAATGACCCTTGTGCACTTGAGAAGAATGTATATTCTGCTGCTTTGGGGTGACATGTTCTGTAAATGTCAATTAAATCCATCTGATCCAGTGTGTCATTTAGAGTCACTATTTCCTTGTTAATTTTTTTTTTTGGTAAGATCTAGCTAGTGAAGTCAGCAGGATGTTAAAGATTCCTACTATGACTGTATTGTTGTCGATCTCTCCCTTAAAGTCCTCTAGAAGGTTTTTAAAAATATATTTATGTTCTCCTATATTGGTTGCATATATGTTTACCAGGGCTATATACTCTTGTTGAATCAATCCCTTTAGTATTATGTGGTGACCTTTGTTGTCTCGTGATGGCCTTCATTTTGAAGTCTATTTTGTCAGACATGAGTATTGCTACCCCAGCTTTTTTTCCATTTCTATTTGCATGGAAAATATTTTTCCACGTCCACACTTTCATCACATGTGTCTTGTTCTGAAGAGGGTCTCTTAGAGACAGCATATGATTGGATAATGTTTTTGTATCAATTCAGCTACCCTATGACTTTTGACTGGAGTATTTAACCCACTTACATTTAAGGTTTTTATTGATAGGTACTTGTTTATTGCCATTTTAATTCTGAGTACTTATGTTTCTATCTTTGTCTATTTTTTCTTCTCATTATAGCAGTCCCTTTAGCATTTCTTTCATTGCTAGTTTGGTGGTGATAAGCTCCTTTTTCTTTTTAAAATTGTTTTTTTGTCCTGGGAAGCCCTTTATTTCACCATCTATTTTGAATGATAGCCTTGCTGGATATAGTAATCTTGGTTTTAGATCCTGGTTTTTCATTACCTTGAAAGGCCATTCCCTCTGGCTTGTAGAGCTTCTGATGAGAAATCAACTTACAGGCTTATGAGAGCTCCTATGTAAGTAACAAATTGCTTTTCTCTTGCTGCCTTTAAGATTCTCTCTTTATCTTTACTTTTTGGCATTTTAATTATGATGTGTCTGGGCATGGACCTGTTTGGGTTCTTCTTGCTTGGGACTCTCTGTGCCTTCTGCACTTATGTGACCTTTTCTTTCACCAGGTTAAAGATGTTTTCTGCCATTATTTCTTCAAACATGTTCTCTAGTCCTTGTTCACTTTCTTCTTCTTCTGGCATAACTATTATGTGAATCTTGTTACTGTTCAGGCTGTCTCACAACTCTGTTAACACATTGTGGATGGATCATGAGAATTCTTGCTTCATACTACACAGTGTTATACAAAGTGTCGTACTTTAAAAAGATATTAGCTTGTAAGAACATGTAATAAATAACTTCAAAAATGCAATGGGTATTTAATTTTAAAGTGTGCCTCTAACATTTATGTAAAATGTATTTTGTACTCGTTCAATAGAAACTTATCTGGCCACTGGATAAAGCTAGCAATAAAACTACTGGTCCACAATGTGTTAAGCTGTCCTCCTGTTTTTAATTGTTTTTCTTTTTGGTTCTCTGATTGAGTGATTTTTTTCTATCCTATCTTCTAATTCACTGATCTAATGCTCAGCTTCCCCTAATCTGCTGTGTAATCCTCCAATGTGTTCTTTCTTTTTTTTTTTTTTAAATATATTTATTGATTTTTTTACAGAGAGGAAGGGAGAGAGCTAGAGAGCTAGAAACATCAATGAGAGAGAAACATTGATCAGCTGCCTCCTGCACATCTCCCACTGGGGATGTGCCCGCAACCCAGGCACATGCCCTCGACCGGAATCCAACCCGGGACCCTTCAGTCCGCAGGCCGACGCTCTATCCACTGAGCCAAACCGGTTTCGGCCAATGTGTTCTTTATTAGTGTTATGTCATTTTTTATTTACAGCTGGTCTTTCATAGTTGCTATATCTTTTCTCATGCTGTTGAGCTTCTTTGACGTCATTATTCTAAACTCTACATCTGATAAATTTCTTATCTCCATGTTGTTTAGCTCTTCTTCTGGAGAATTCTTTTGTTCTTTTATTTGTTTTTGTGTGGTTTTTTTTCTCCCCATTTTGGCTGCCTGTTTGCCTTTCTATCTATGTATTAGACAGATCTGCTGTTACTCCCAATCTCTAGTGCAGGACAATATCAAATGCTGTTTCTGACTGGCCCTGAGTCCCCTGTTTGGAGCTATCAATAATCCACAATTTGTGCTCCCTCTGCTGGGTCTAGGTGCCTTTGGAAAGGACCAAGTTGCGCACCAGGGTCTGCTTTTCCTAGCCCCAGCTCCAGAAGGAGATCAGGCAAAGACTTAAAGCCTCCAGAGAGCCTCCTCTGCCTGTAGTCTGATTTTTATCAGCTTTGATTTACGTTAGGCTATTGACCACAGGGTGGGTGAGAGATCTTCCAAGAGGGTGTGGCAACTGCCTTTTTCCCAGGCAACAACCACCTGGATAGCAAAGGTCTGCCAGAGAAAGATGTCTTCGCAGTATGAGGGGTTGACTCAGCCTAGGAAACTGGGTGGCTGCCCTTTGAGCTCCAAACCCAGAGCCCCCAACCCTGGAATTTCCTCGCTCAGCTCCAGTCCACTCTGCCTTCCCTCTGTCAGAGCCCAAGGTGAGTAGCTGAACATGAAATTTTGTGTATTGGACCTTTTAGAGGGTGCCTGCATTTCCAGTAGTCTTTCCCTGGCAGACAGCAGCCCTCCTGCTTTCCTCAGCCAGATGTTATGTGGGCAACATTCTCAGTTCTGGTGCTCTGGGTGGGGAACCCAGCTTGGGGTTTAGACCCCAGAGTCCTCAGTGGGAATCCCCCACAGCTGAGATATCCCTCTGACACTTCAGCTGTTGACTGTGAAAGCCAGGCCATCCCTTTTGTGCCTCTGCACTTCCTTGCAGTCTCTATGCATCTCCACTTTCCTTCTTGGTTATCTCAATTAGTCCTCAGTTGATTTTTCAGGGTGGTTCTTCTGTATTTTAGTTGTATTTCCTGGGAGAGTGTCAGTGTAGTGCCCACTTACTCCACTGCCATTTTTAATCTCCTCTCTAGCTGTGGCTTGTTTAAGAGATTTTAGCAAAGTCTGTCACAGGTGCTAATTAAAAAAAAAATGATATAGTTTATATACTTTAACTGTTTAAAGCAGAGGTGGGGGAACATCTGGCCCATGGGCCTTATAAGGACCACAGAATCTTTTGGTCTAGCCCTGCCAAGGAATTAGAGGTGAGTTAATTAAATGTTTTACCAAATATAGCAGGCTAAATTTTAAGTTGATAATTTTGTGTGGCCTATGAAGGATATTATAAATATTCATATAGCCGTTGGCAGAAAAAGGTTCCCCACCCCTGGTAAAGTATGCAATTAAGTAGACTTTATTATATATTTACCATGTTGTAAAAACATCACCATACTCTTAATTTTTGTACATTTTATAACCACTAAATGAAACCCACCACTTATTAGCAGTCAGTCTCCACTGCTTCCACCCTCAGTCCTAGTCAACAGCTAATTGACTTTCTCTCCCTATGGATTTATCTTTTTTGGCAATATTTCATATAAATGAAATTGCACAATATGGGGCATTTTGTATCTGTCTTCTTTCACTTGGCATAATGTTTTCAAGGTTCATCCATGTTGTAGCATTTATTGATACTTCATACCTTTTTATGGCTGAATAATATTTTCTGTATGAATATATTATATTTTGTTTATCAATTCCCCTCTCAATTGATAGATATTTGGGTTGATCATTGGCTATTATAAATAATGCTGCTATAAATATTTGTGTACAAATTTTTGAGTGGACATATATTTTCAGTTCTCTTGAGTTTAAATACCTGGGAGTAATTTTGTTTGTATACATTTAAAAATTAGGTTGTTTGTTTTCTTATTACAGAGTTTTAATGTCTATAAAGTTTTAAAGGTTGATACAAGGTGTGTATCTCTTAAATCATGAAACTCCAGAGTAGTTCTTTGTAGATTAAATGAATGGCATATAAAAGCTTGATGATCTAATGTCTTCCAAGAATATTATTAAATCAACTTAAAGAACCAATTTGTCTTCATCTGAATTGTTTAAAATATATAAAATTACTCTTTATTTTTATTTTATCTTAAAAGTTTCTTCAGATGCTAGTTCTAGATTCACTTAGTCACTCATTGTGTACATATTTATTGGTATTGCCTTTGTGTCATGCATCATACTAAGGTATTGAAATAAAACATATGCGGAATAACATGCAACTATGAGTTATAAAAATGTAGTCATACTTATTTTGTGATATGGATGTGATTTTTGTTGAGTTATGCCTCTCTCCCTCTTCTTCCTCTCACAATTCACATTATCCCTCCATTATGGATTATTCAAGACACACATGAATAAATCCCCCAATTCCTTTAGGTGCTTGAAGAAATTGAGGTCCTTTGAAGCTGTCTGCTGATTTTCTCTTTAGTGTGTCATAATGAGGCCTGTCACACTGTAAGTAATGGAGACTTGCCCGTCTTGTTCCTTGCAGCATTGCTGACAGACAGAATGCCTTGGAGGCTGAGCTGAGGGCAGTGGAGGCCTCTCGCAGGGACCTGGAGAATTTCTTAAAGTGGCTACAAGAAGCAGAAACCACAGTGAATGTGCTTGCAGATGCCTCTCAGCGGGAGAATGCTCTTCAGGACACTGTCTTGGCCAAGGAGCTCACACAGCAGATGCAGGCAAGTGCCCAGAAAAATGTGACCAGTGCTTGTTTACCATTAAGATTTATTACCATCCAGAAGTGAGGTTGTCACCTTATTCTGTTATGGCATCCATGCTCTCCTGTGAATAATTGGTTTTTGGAAATAAGATCTGTAAAATACACTTACTTAATAATTGGGGAAAACACTTTGTTTTATGGAAGTAATAATTGTTTGTTTAGACTTCTAGACATGTAGCTATTCTGTTTTCTATCATTTCAAGCCCTATTACAGTTAGCCTTATTGAATCTTACATTATAAGAACATTTCCTCTTAATATGAGTTGTTTCATTCTCTATTTATTATAAATACTTAATATAAAAGCTGTAAAGGCTCTATGGCTTAGTTTACAACTAAGAGCATTGGGCTTGAAGGTATTACTTTTATGTCTTTGGCTTGATAAATATGATATATTCAGTCTCAGGTTCAAGTTTTCCTTCTATACAAAATGTGGTAATACAAAATCTTTCCTTTAAAAAAGATTATGAGGGATCTTATGAAGCACATCTGCATCCCTTTTCTATCCTCAAATACAAGTGAATCAGTGTCCTTGAACTCCCATTTTCTTTGTGTAGAATAACTTATTCTTGTCAATCGCAGGCCATCTCACCTAGAACTTGCTTAAAAATCTGCTTTGATGGAGAAGTCTCCTTGCTATTTTATATTTTAACCTAGTTGCAATGAGGAGAAGTCATTAGAGGATATTAAGCAATAGAGCGATGCAATGGGATTTGTATTTTATAGGAATCTAGCTGAGGAGGAATGGGCCTGAACTGGGCAAGACTGAGCAGAGCAGTCTGTTAGGATATCTTGTAGCCAACTGCTCAGAGGTGATAATGACCAGGAATAAGGCAATAGCAGGGGGCATACACCTAATGACTTGCTAGCAAGGGTCCACTAAGGGAAGGGGAAGAGGTAGAGACACAGAAGCTTGCCAGGTGGTATTAGAGCCTGAGATTAGGAATGCAGGAAAATAAAATGTCAGGGCAGCAGGGCAAGGTGACGGGATGGGAAGTTTCATTTCGACTGCGTTGAAGTGAGGCATTTGTGTAACATCCAGGAGGAGATGCCTGGTATGCAGTTGTCACTATGGATCTGCATTCAGATGAGAGACTTTGGCCAAAGACTCAGAGAAACTTTTTGTTGTTGTTTTTGAATGAATGTCTATTACTGACTTCCCACTTTATCTATTAATTCAAATGCATTTATTCACGATTTTCATGCCCACATTCTAACACATTATCATTTTATTTATTTATTTATTTATTTAAATGTATTTTATTGATTTTTTTTTTTTTAAGGAAGAGAGGAAGGAAGAGGGATAGAGAGTTAGAAACATCAATGAGAGAGAAACATAGCACTGAGCCAAACCGGTTCGGCCACATTATCATTTTAATTATTTTTTTTTTTAAACGTGAGCTTTACCTTTTACCAGTACCAGTGAGCCTAGCTGCTCTGATTCTCTCCTGGGTAAAATCATGCTGCCTTGCTACTTTTCCGGGTGGTGTTATAACAGGTGGCTGGTTTTATTCTCTAACAATATGTGTTTGGAATTACTATTTTTTTTCATCTCTGTATTCTCTTTCAGCCTAATTTTTATCCTCTTGTTTGATAGGTGCAGACTTTGATCAAATCTTCCCCTGTACCCGGCTCCATACCCAACATTGTGTTTTTGGGGAGATATATATACCTGTACCGTGGAAACTTCCCCTGTTGGGTTATGGGCAGAAATTACAACTTCATATCTTTTGATAATAGTTTTATTGACATATAATTCATATTCCATACACTTGTCCATTTAAATTTGATTGTTTTTAGTGTACTCACAATTATGCAATCAAATTAGAACATTTTCATCCCCTCTGAGAGGAACCCTATACCCCTTAGCTATCAGTCTCCCATTTGCAGCTTCCTAATCCCCCAGCCCTAAATAATCAATAATCTAATTTCTGTTTCTATATATTTGTTTAATAACTTAGTACTTTTAACTGATTGCTATCATCAACTGACTACTCTTCTGATTTTGCCTTTGTGTAGCTATTTTGATATTGTTAGCCTCTCCAGAAGGAGGCAGTATAGGTTCTCAGTATAGACATACATGGGAAAACACAATACACAAGCAGAAGCCTACCAAAACACTGCTTGATAAACACAGTTCTCTCTGACCAGTAAGGGACTTTAAATCAGGCTAAAATCAAGAACTGAGAAGGCAAAAGAAGTAGAACATACTTTAAATATTGTGTTTCCTTTAAAAAATCATGATAATAGTAGAGAAAGAGGAAAAGGCAACATTTCCTGTGTTATTAGTTTGAGCAGGACACTGATAATGAGAAACGTCTGGGTCCTATTTTTGGCTGTGCCCTTTGACTCAGTG